GACTATTAAGGGACCAACAGATGAAGGCAGGGAGACTAGCCAGTTGGGGGCCCCTCAGGCAGGGTGGTTCTTGTATGCTTTAGGACTGGAATGGCTGGAGCAGAGTGAAAAGAGGGAAGAAGGAAAGGTCAGAAGGGCAATGCCAGGTCAAATGATGCTAGGCCTCATAGCCTAGCTCATAGTTTTTACTCTGAGTGAAAGGGGAGCCACTGCAGAACTTTGATCAGAGGAATAACATGATCTGACTTGAGTTTTAAAGAGATCCCTATGACTGCTGTGTTGGAAATAGCCCACAGATGTGAGGGGAGAAGCAGAGAGAACAGTGGGAAGGCAATCTCAGTAAATGCAGCTGAGGGATGATGGAGATGTGGACCTGTGATCAGAAGTGGAAAAACAAGATGTGGACCAGTTCTGGGCATGTGCTGATGGTAGAACTATCTTGATTTCTGGGTGAATGTGGTGCATGAGAAACAAGGAGAAGAGTCAAGAAGAACCCTATGTTTTTTTTGCCTGGACGAGGAAAATGAAGAAGCTGCTATCAACTGGGTTGAGGGGGGCCGCAGGTAGTGCTGTGCATGTTGGGGCCAAAGGGTGTAGATCAGGAATTCAGTTTTGTCTACCCAAGTGCAAGTAACAGCCAGTCTTAAGAGCTAACTTGCCTCAAGCTTCTGCGCTCCTTGCTTGCTGACCCAAGGCCCTTGGTGTGCAGGGGACTAACCTACTTCCCTTGAGACTTGCACACCACTGGCCTTGAGGAGTGAAGGACCAGAATTTCCCAGAAGATAAAGCCTGACCGCACTGGAAAACAGCTGCGGCTGATGCCAGCAAGTCTGTTCAGGGTCATGTCCACCTTGGACTAACTGCCAAGGCATCTGCTTCTCCTGCACGGAGCAGCCCCCTTCCCTGTCCCCCCTACTACCCTGCCTTCCCTTTTAAGCCCTTGCGGCTTCGCCTGGACAGGGAGGATGGTTTTCGGGGCATTAGTCCACCGTCTTCCCAGGTTGCCTGCTTCCTGAAATAGAACAACCTTTCCCTTCCCTGAAGCACTGGCGTCTCAAGTATTGGTTTTCCAGGAGGGTGTAGCCCTACCTGAGTTCAGAACCCTTTCTCTGTGCAGTAACAGAAGTATATAGTAGGAACTGAACATACAAGCCTGAGTTCAGAGGTCAGGTCTAGGTGGGAAATACACATTTAGGAGTCAGCTTACAGGTATTATTTAAAAAGACATCTGAGTGGCTCAGTTGGTTAAGCATCTGTCTTCAGTTCCAGTCATGAACTTAGAGTCCTGGGATGGAGCCCCACATCAGGCCCCCTGCTCCGTGGGGAGTCTGCTGCTTCTTTTGTCCCTAGCCCTGTCCATGCTCTCTCTTTTTCTCTCAAATAAATAAGTAAAATATTTTTAAAATTTTTTAAAAATAGAGCCCCTGGACTGGGTGAGATGACCAAAAGTGAGTTGGTGGAAATGAGGACCAAGAAGTGTCCCCCAAACGCTCCTCTGTGTAGAGTCAGGGTAGAGAGGAGGAGCCAGCCAGAGAGACTGAGAAGAGAGACCAGGGAGCAAGGAGAAAAATGAAGAGAGTGTGGCATGCTAGAAATCCAAGTGGAGAAAGTGTTCTCCAGGATAAGGGAGTGATTGACAGGTGCAGGGCTGCAGAGCCTCGAGCACAATGCATGCCAGCCGTTACCTGCAGCAACACGGGGGTTTTCAATGACCTTGCAATCTGAGTGAGGATGAAAACTAATTGAAGTGGGTATAAGGAAGGAATGGAATTGGAAACAAAATATTTAGATAACTCTTTGTAGGTGTTTCGCTGCAGAAGGAAACAAAGAAGTGAAGCGGTTGCTGGTGTGGAAAGTGGGGTGAGAGTGTTCTAAAAGTAGGAAAATAGCAGCAGATACAGTGATGGGAATGATAAGTACAAGATGAAACATTGACAGTTGGGAGGTGGGTGGACCACTGGCACAAAGCCTTCAGAGAGAGAGGGCTACGGGGAGAGAATGTTTTCTGACTTGGAGCAAGGAAAGGGCACAGGCAGTAGCTGGTCCAGCTGCAGGGCAGAGGGGAACAATGCTGGTGGCCAGGCACTTGTGGTGGCTGCAATGTGTGGGTGTTCAGGTTTCTCCTCTTTCTCAGTGAGTTAGAATTCAAGGTCCTAAGTTGAGAGTGGGAATCTAGGGGAAGGAAGTGTTGAAGGTTTGGAGAAAGAGGAAATAGCGAGAAATCGTGTCGAGGGCAGTGGAGAGGGTCTGAACAAGGACGCACAGTCTCCCGTACAGCCATCTGCAGCTTGTGTAGCCCAATGTGTGCTCTAGCCAAGGGACAAATAAAAATAAAGGCAGGGAGGTCAAAGGTATATGCAAGGCATTGTTTAGAAATCTTCAGATGCCCATTGATTTGCAACCTCTCTGCGTTAGTCTGTTAAGGTTCTTATAACAAGATACCCCAGACTCGCTTAAACAACAGACGTTTATTTTCTCACAGTTTTGGAGGTGGGAAGTCCAAGGTTTGGTTTGGTTTCTTCTGAGGTTTGTCTCGTTGGCTTACAGAAGGTCACCTTCTGGCTGTCTTCACATATTTCTGTAAAAACACCGATCAGATTAGACCAGGACGACCCTAACAGCCTCATTTTAACTTAATCACTTTGAATGCCCTATCTCCAAATGCAGTTACATTTGGAGGTACTGGGGTATGAGGGCTTCATTACATGAATTTTGAGGGCGCACAATTTAAATCACAACATTGTCCGTCTATGCAATGCATCCCAGAGAATCATCTCAACATACACTTTATTTGTGTATGTTTGCTTTAACTTTCTGTCCCCAGTACAAAATTTATACAGATTCTCCCTTTGGGAGCCTTAGATGGAAGGAGCTGTTTTTCTAAGAGGTAGGGTTGGTATCCTCCTTACTCTCCGATGCTTGCAAACTTTTTCAATCCACAGTAAAAATATATACTTTATATTTGACTCAGTACAGACACATATAAATATGTAACTGACAAGTTTGCACAAGTCAGTGCAATGTGCTTTGATGTCCAAGACATTTTCTGTTCTTCTCCATTTATTTTTCAAATTTATTTGAGATAAATAAATAATAGTTACATAGTTATATATAAATAATAGTGCAGCAAGGAAAGAATGGACTATTGATTTAACAAAAAACTGGATTCTATCCATTGAGAGGCAAGAAGAAGGGGAATGGGGCATGAAGGAGAGATGAACTCCTTATTCAACATAACAGGAAAGAAATTTCTCAAAGAGTTGAATAGAGATATAGAAAACATGCCAATTACTTTAAAATAGGGAAACAAAGCATAGAAGAAACAGTTTAGAATGTGCAGAGAAGCTGCCACAGGGAGAGCAGGATGTCACAGGATATGGGGGTTGAGGAGGTGTGACCGAGAGCTTTTTGTTTTTTGGTAGCTTCTGAGCGACATTTGACTTTTAAAATTTATATATAGATTGCTTGATAAAAATGAAAAATAATGTATAAAAATACACATAATATATGTAGCCACCCTGTTCTGCAGACTTTTAGGGATAGGCCGGTTGAATTTCCTGCTGCATACTCAAACCTCCACACCAAATGTTTATAGATGCTTTTTACTCAAAATCCCAAACTGTGCATTCGCAAGTGCTTGCATTTTAGACCAGAGGTTCCCAACCCTTTCCAATGTATGAAGACTCCTCTTTCTTTAAAAAGAAAGACAGGCAGTTCTCCAAAAGAAGACTGTCCACTTCATGAAGTGTTAAATAAAGTTTGTAAAAAAAAATAATAATAATTAAAAGGGAGGATAACCAGTGGCTGAGAGCATAGACCCTGGGGCCAGATTCTGTGTTCAGATCCCAGCTTTGCCACTTATTAGCTGTATGATTTCAGGCAAGTCTCTGAATTTCTCTGCTTTCTCAACTTCAACATCTGCAATGTAAAGACGGTAACAGTACTTCCCTCCAGAAGCTGTTGTGAAAATTAATTGAGTTCATTTTTTAAAAAATGCTTAGACCAGGGCTTGGTGTGTTAAATACATAATATTTCACAAGAAGGTAGTTCTTACCCTTTTGAATCTATAGATTGAGAAACAACATTCAGAATTACTATGAATTAGTTATCTAAATACTATTAAAACATATAATATTCATATTAATTATAATATCTATAAAATAATTCATATTTTCTTTATCACACCAGAATCTTCAGTTTGCAAAAGAGTATACTTGTAGAAAATGCTGTTACTTTTCAGTCTGTGGACAATGTTCAATGTGCATATGATTTTGTAGTAAATCTGAGGAGGACTGGAGTTCACAACACACATATACTGTCCACCTACTGACCATCCATGCCTGTAAAGTAGGACTATAATTGGTCATTTTTAACTGATGAGAGTCCTCCCAGAATTTTTATGTGGAAGCTACACTAATAGGATATCTCCCCTCCTCCCACCAGAATCATGACCCAAGATCAACCTGTGAGAACTGAGTAAACAAAACCAACACAGACTTCAAGAGCTAAGGCCCTCTGAAACTTAACATGAGAAATTATTGACCAGAGCTACTGAGAGGCATGTTTAGAATACAAATGTCATTAGGAAGCTTAAATCTAACATATTCCATTGTCTAACAATTGACTATATTCAGAGAAGGGGTTAGCCAAGAGCAGAAGTAGGGGATGGTTGGCAAAGAAAAGGTGTCCTTAGGTCTCTTGCACTGTCTGGGGAAGAAGAACACTGACCTATGAGCACAAAATTTCTTTGATACAAACACCCCTACGCTATGGAGATACAAATACTGATGATGGTTGCATTGGTTAATTTTTTTATCTATCTTCATTTTTTCAAATCCAAATTTACCAAGCAACATTCTGGTGATATTTTTCTTCCTGTATAATTTGTCTGTAAGTAAAATTGTGTTTGGCATTATTACTTTTCCTTGTAAGTGAATAAATCAGCATTCTGTATTATACAGCAGTTGCTATGAATGGCTTTTTTTTTTTTTTTTTTTTAGCATGAGTCCCCAAGAAAATCCTCAAGTCTGGGTGCCCAGCAGGAAGAAGGCTCAGCATTTCCAAAAGAACAGGCCTGAGGACAGGATGATGGAATGATGGATACAGGTACTCCTGCCTTAATCCCAGCTGTTCTGTAGGTGACATCTTTCCATCTTGTCTTTTAAAATCTCACACCCTAACCTGATACAGAACCCACATTCCCCATACTGTTGCAACTTTGAGTTTTCCTGGTAGGGAAAGTCCCCAACTATAGTGTTCTCTCCAGGAAAAGTGAGCTAAGGTCGAGTTTTGGCTTTAATTTGGAATCTATGTTATATTGATTATTTAAACCATTTTCATAAACTACCACTTACATGTTATCTTGACTCATTCAACAGTGAGTTGAACTCAATCAATGAACAAAACACTTTGTTGGGAGAGATACAATTATAAAGATGGATTATGAGAATGTAGAAGTAACCCAAGTGTCTGAAAGGATAAGCAAAATGTGCTATCTACATATAAGGGAATATTATTCAGCCTTGAAAAAGAAGGAAATACTGACACATGCTAAAGCAGGGATGAAAGTGGAAGACATTCACTAAGTGAAATAAGGCAATCCCCAAAAGACAAATGCTGTATCATTTCATTTATTTGAGGTCCCTAGAGTAGTCAAATTCAGAGAGAGAGGGAAAGTAGAATGGTGGCTGTTAGAGGCTGGGGTAGGAAGGAATGGGGAGTTGTTATGGCACAGAGTTACAGTTTTGCAAGATGGAAAGAGGTTATGGATGGTAAGGTTATAGGTGGTGGTCATAGTAGCATAACCACATGAATGAACTTAGTATCACTGAATTGTACACTTAAATATGATTAACATGGTCAATTTTATGTTATGTATATTTTACTACAATAAAGAAAAAAAAAAGACAAATTATGGCTCCTGTCATAGGGTGCTTACAACCTCTAGGAGAGGCCTAACAGGAAGGTGGGGTTAGCATTATAGAGATGCAGACGAAAGATGTAGGTTAATGCTGAGGCCAGCCCATTTCACAAAGAAACTAATAGGAGATGTGGGTCATTATGCAATTTCCTCAAATGCTTAAGATCCGTTGAATCTCCCATTCCTACTTGAAAACCATAAGGCACAAGGCAACCTGACCGCCTTCTGCGTTTGTTTTCTGGCTCTCCTGCCTGGGTTGGACCTGAGAACTTTCCCTCTGTGACCCATCAGATGGCGCCGCCGCCCGCAGTGCATCTCCAGGTGCATAGGTGGCGCTGTAGCCCTGGCCTCTTTACCACCACCACCACCACCCCACCTTACCCCGCCCCGCCTCGGTGACCCTTACTTCCGCCTCCGGAGCCCGCCTCTCTTCGTAGGGACTCAGCTGCGCAGTCTCCGGCCGCGGGCCTGTGGAGAGCATGGCGGCGTCTTCAAGTGGAGAGAAGGAGAAAGAGCGGCCGGGGGGCGGTTCTGGAGCGGCGGGCGGTAACAGCACGCGAGAGCGACTGCTGTCTGCGCTGGAAGATCTGGAGGTCTTGTCGAGGTAATGCCGTCGGTCTGAGGGCCTGACTGGGCTGGGCCGGGAGGACTGACTGTGGATCTGCCGCCCTGGGTGGCAGGGTGGGTTCGTTTCTGGGGCTCCGCGGGGAGGCCGCGCTCCCAAAGACGGTGAGCGAGTATCGTGGACTTGGCGTCCGCAGCCCTCCGTCACTCCGAGACGGCACCCCCCTCCCTTCCTTAGGGGACATTTTAGAAATGAGTGACGCTGGAACCCCGACGTCGTCAGAACCGTAGCGGACCTTAGAGGTCGCCAGGTGTGAGTACTTTCGTCCACGGACTCTTGACAGACGTTTAAGGACCCCCCTCCCCCGGGTCCCAAACGCTGGGAGACGGTAGTGAGGGGGAGACTAGTTGCGGACACAGAGCAGCCCATTGTCAAGGAGAAGGGACAGCCGTAAACAGACACCATGGTGCGGAGCCTGTTCTTAACAGAGGTGTGCGCTCCGGGTTACTGAAACTCGAGGACTATAGGTTCCCGTCTCAGTTGTAGTCAGGGCAGGCTTCCCGGAGAAAGGACTGCATGGGAAGAAGGAGTTCACCGCATTCTGTAGGTGGCAGGTAGTTGGAATAGCAGGTGCAAACGCCTGGAGGCACGAGCACTCGCGACTTGGTGCAGTTGCAAGTTTGGGGTGGCTGGAGTTCAGCGAGTATGGAAGAGATAGAAGTTGGATGTCACTCCCCTCATTCTGCCATCGTTCGTGGTAGTTTGTCAAGTTGAAGCCTTCTTTAACTCTGTCACATTCACTTGGATGCTGAAATTGTTTTGATTCTTCCTCCTAAAAGGTTGCTCAGATTGGACCTATTGTTCCCATCCCCACCGTCCTATCTTTTGATGCAGCCTCCCTACAAGTTTCACTTGGCTTTATGCTTCTGTGCTTTCTATATGGCCACAGCAGAGCTATCTTTTTTTAAAAGCATCTTATGTCACTTTTTTTTCTGCTTTAAAAGATTTGGTAGGTTCCTGATGCTCAGTGAGATACAGTCCAAATGTCTAGTCTAGTGTGTCACTTTTCCGTAAATAATGTTTACTTCTGAAGAAGTGACACCCCCTTTGGGAAGTAGTGGCTGCTGCCTTTTGTTCTGAGTGAATCTTGGTCTTTGAATTTCAAATCTTTGTCTTAGTATATTCAATGAACTATTACTTCTCAGCCTTCTACTCTGGAGCCCAGTAAATTCATTTCTTTTCTGAGTTTACATGCAGTAACATAATTTGTCTGTTTTGCGACCTGGTATATATTTCATATTCATCAAGTTCGGAAACTTTTTGAACCTAGGCATACAGGGTAAAGGTCTTTGAAAATTTCTTCTGACATTGGACAGCTTGGTAGTCAGTCTTAAGATCTTGCCTCTGGATTATTTGGCTATAGCTCTGTATACCCGAAGTGCTTTCTTGACGCTCTTGGTACCAACAAGAGTACATATACATGATCGTCATGCACTCTTCCACTTGAGATAACATAAATAAGTAATTTATCAATTGTGTAAAATTTGAGACCAAATTGAAATTGTCTTGTAAATTGATGGGTTTATCTCTCCCCCTCTTTTGATTGTTTCCTTAATTCCCGAGTATAGGGTTTTCTGTTTGATGAAATGTATCAAGAATCTGTTTCTGAAACTTTCCCACCTCAGCTTTCTAGCTGTGCATGATTAGAGGTGCTGAGTTCTCTTTTGCTTTCTCTAAACGTAGCTGTAGTTCCATTGCCCTTTTCCCAGGAATGCTAAAAACACTTTGATTTGTCATTGATTTGCAGTCCTCACTGAATCTGTTGACAAACTAGAGATAAGCTTCTTCTTTCTTGGGGTCCTTGCAGCTTGGTAATAACCGTTACTTTAAAAGTTTGTTTTTTGGGGCGCCTGGGTGGCTCAATGGGTTAAAGCCTCTATCTTCGGCTCAGGTCATGATCCCAGGGTCCTGGGATCGAGCCCCGCATCGGGCTCTCTGCTCAGTGGGGAGCCTGCTTTCCTCCTCTCTCTCTCTGCCTGCCTTTGCCTACTTGTGATCTCTGTCCGTCAAATAAATAAATGAAATCTTTAAAAAAAATAAAAAAATAAAAGTTTGCTTTTCTTTTCCTCTGATTTTCTCATGACTTAATCTGACATATTATTTTATTTGTTCATCTCTAAAGAAAGACTGGGTGACAGAAATGAGTGAAAATTTATCTCTTTTGTGACCCTGGAGATGGTTGTTGGTGGTAGTGGGAGAGATGTCACTTTGTGGTTTGCCCCGAGACTCATTGAGACTTCACAGAATGAGGCTATTCCAGTGTGATTGGCTTTCAAAAAAATCCCATTATATTAGCAATCAGATATAGCTACATATACTGCTTCTGTGATCTGTGAAATGTGTCATTATCTTCTTAATGAAATTTTTCTCTTGTTTGCATTTTTTTATGAAAAATTGGAAAGAAAAACTAATGTAACCTGTTAACTTTAAAAAATAGCGCGTTTGAGGGCGCCTGGGTGGCTCAGTGGGTTAAGCCGCTGCCTTCGGCTCAGGTCATGATCTCAGGTTCCTGGGATCGAGTCCCACATCGGGCTCTCTGCTCGGCAGGGAGCCTGCTTCCCTCTCTCTCTCTCTGCCTCTCTGTCTACTTGTGATCTCTCTCTGTCAAATAAATAAATAAAATCTTTAAAAAAAAAAAAATAGCGCGTTTGAAATTTAGGATATATTTTTTGCTGTTACTTGATTATATAGCTTTTCAGTATATTTATTACTTTGTAAAATATGATAGAATGAGGTAATCTTTGGAGGAATTTTTAAAAAGAGAAACACAAATTATAGCCTACAAGTTTTTCTTTTCTTTTTTTAAAGATTTTATTTTATTTATTTGACAGAGACACAGCGAGAGAGGGAACACCAGTAGGGGAGCAGCAGAGGGAGAGGGAGAAGCAGGTTACCCGCTGAGCAGAGAGCCCAGGGGCTCGATCCCAGGACCCTGGGATCATGACCTGAGCCAAAGGCAGAAGCTTAACGACTGAGCCACCCAGGCGCCCCACTACAAGTTTTTGTTAACATATTTGTGACTCAGAACTCAATTGTCCTTCAGAAACCATATTGATAGGAGTCTTGAGGTTTCCACACCAGCCTATTAATCTGTTTATCTATAATTTACCTGAAGTGTAGTATACCACTAATAATATGGGATCTAACCTCCAAGTAAATTATATTTCTGTGGGGAATTGTGAGTGGATCCTAATTTGATATGCCAGGAGTACAGCTTCTTCTGTAGCAAGACAGGGCTCTATCTCCCACACCTGTAACCAGAGAGTGGGCTCATGGGTTCCTTCAGTCTCTTTTTACCATTGGGGAGGACAGAGGTTTCCACTTTGTTCTAGACTGCTACTGAACAGCACTAAGTCTTGCAGCTTTTTCCTTCCCACTGTACTCCTGTACCTAAGGCCAGCTCTTCTAAGGTTTTCTGTGGATACATACTCCCATACTTGCAAGAAAAGCGGAAAAAGGCTCATTCCACATCTCCCACCATACTTCCCATCCCCACCACTCCCACCGCTGAAACAAGCCTTTGTGTAGACTCTAGGTTCTCAGCTGTTTATATCTCATCTATGGGGTAAAGAAAAAGGTTAATCTAACATGCTGTCTTCATAAAATGTCTGTTAATCCATCAGCAAGTCCTATCAGCTCTACCTCCAATATATATACACATACACATACATACGTGTGTGTGTGTGTGTGTTTGTGTGTGTGTGTGTGTGTGTGTGTGTGTATATATATATATTTTTTTTTTTTTAAGATTTGATTTCTTTATTTGACAGAGAAAGAGTGAGAGAGGGAATACTAGCAAGGAGAATGAGAGAGGGAGAAGCAGGCTTCCCACTGAGAGGGAGCCCTACTTGGGGCTCTATCGCAGGGATCAGGACCAAGCCTATGGCAGATGCCCAACTACTAAGCCACCCAGGCACCCCCCAGAGTATATTCTGAATCTGTACACGTTTTACCTGTTTGCATTACTATTGCTACATCTTAGTGGCTAGGACTTCATCAAAGCCAATGTCATTTTTGCCTGGAATACTACAGAAGCTGCTTAACTTGATTTCCATTCTAGCCCTCTTAAAATCCGTTCTCCAGATAGCTTATCAGGTTGCTTAAAAACATAAATCAGTTCATGTCATTTCCCTGTTTAAAATATTTGGTCATTTTTCACTGTACCTGGAGTGAAATACTGGTCCTTTGCTGTGACCTAAAAAGCCCTAACACGATCTGGTCTCTCCCTCCCTAACCATGTCCTCATTTTTGTATCTTGGTTCCCAGTACCTACTGTATTCTGACCACACCTCTCAGACCCATCTTTGGACCCCTGAACTATGTCTTTTACAAGCATTCTTCTTTGTGGCTGACTTTTCTCACTCAGAGAAGCCTTCCCTAACTCCACCCAGTGTAAGTGGGTGTTTTATTTAAACAACTCTTTTCTATTGACAGTCATATTTCATTGGTATTTATATACTGGATATTAATTTATGTAATTATAGTAATAGGTTAAACTTGCATAAATGGATCTGGTAACAAACACAATTGAGTCTTGCTGGTGAGAGCCCAAGTCACAGTGGGGCAGGGACTGTGAATACTCCGCATGCTGTGGGTACCATGAATCCAGCAAGTCAGTTAGGTAGAGATCAGTTGATAAAGCTTCTATTGTATTTATTTTGCAAAGTTGTTTCGGTTTTTTGTTTTTCTTTTTTAGAGAACTTATAGAAATGTTAGCAATTTCAAGAAACCAAAAGTTGTTGCCACCTGATGAGGAAAACCAGGTAAGTGGCTTCTTTTTAAATTACAAACAAGAAATCCCCATAATTTCTGCAGTTTCCCTATTTACATTTACTTTGTGTGAGACAGGAAGATTGGAATATGTTAAATTATTAATTACAACTTTTAAATTGATATTTTCCTTGAATCACTTATATTAGGTAACACTGCTTAAAAAGAAAATAGTTGGTTGGATTATGGACATTGGGGAGGGTATGTGGGATGGTGAGTGCTGTGAAATGTGTAAGCCTGACGATTCATAGACCTGTACCCCTGGGGCAAATAATACATTATATGTTAATAAAAATAATTAATAAAAAAACAATTTAGGATAGCTTAAAAAAAAAAGAAGAAAAGAATTGTCTAAGGGTTTAGCCGTATTATTTTCTCTTATAGTTCTAGTTACACATTTACTCATTTTTGTCCTTTGAATTAACCAACAAAGCTTGTTAAACAGAGATTAAAACAATATTTGAAAGAAAAAAAGTTGATGCTTTCATAAGCTAATCTTTAATTATAGGCTTGTTTCCCCTAATGCAACTTGAAAATTAATGGAAATAAAAGAGCATACAATTGACGACGTGGATGGAACTAGAGGGTATCATGCTTAGCGAAATAAGTCAATCGGAGAAAGACAACTATCATATGATCTCTCTGATATGAGGGAGAGGAGATGCAACATGGGGGGTTAAGGGGGTAGGAGAAGAGTAAATGAAACAAGATGGGATTGGGAGGGAGACAAACCATAAGTGACTCTTAATCTCACAAAACAAACTGAGGGTTGATGAGGGGAAGGGAGTTGGGGGGGTGGGGTTATGGACATTGGGGAGGGTATGTGCTATGGTGAGTGCTGTGAAGTATGTAAACCTGGCGATTCACAGACCTGTACCCCTGGGGATTAAAATATATTATATGCTTATAAAAAATAAAATATTAAAAAAAAAGAACATGCAATTGTTAATAGAAATTATTTTGTGGATGTTAAGTTTACAAGTTTTTATTTTCTTTATTCCTTTCTGTGTTTTGTAATTTTCTGCAGTGAGCAGATTTTATTTTCTGATCCAAAAACTTGTTAAAGAGGGTAAATGTCATTTTATGTGTTTTTTACCATAATTTTGAACAACTTAAAAAGAAAACATCTGGGAAGGATTAACCTTTTTAATGATACGAGACAGCTCTGTGCCCCATCATTATCTTAGTTTTATCTTGGGATATGTTTTGAGGGCAGAGGAATTTGATTGACTGTCAATAGAGAAGAATCATAAAACTTGTTTTCTTCAGGGACACCTGGGTGTCTCAGTCAGTTGAGCATCTGCCTTCAGCTCAGGTCATGATCCCTCAGTCCTGGGCTTGAGTCCCATGTCGGGCTCCTTGCTCACCAGGGAGCCGCCTTCTCTCTCTGTCTGCTTCCTCCTGCTTGTGCGCTCTCTCTCTCTCTCTCTCTCTGACAAATAATCTTCAAAACTTGTCTTCTTCAAAGATTAATCCCCTCAGGTGGTGAGAGGGAATTAGATAAGGCTATAAGTAGTAAAAGTTGGTAATTTTAGGGATATAAAAGTTGTTTTATGTATGTTGCTTATTTTGTTTTTAGAAGAAGCTTATAGAGAAATATGTTAATAGGGGAATGCTAGCCTCAGATACTTTATTGATAAATACCTGTGAAATTAAATAAGAATTTATTACAGAATGAGGGGCGCCTGGGTGGCTCAGTGGGTTAAAGCCTCTGCCTTTGGCTCAGGTCATGATCCCAGGGTCCTGGGATCGAGCCCCACATCGGGCTCTCTGCTCAGCAGGGAGCCTGCTTCCTCCTCTCTCTGCCTGCCTCTCTGCCTACTGTGATCTCTGTCTGTCAAATAAATAAATAAAATCTTAAAAAACAAAAAAGAATTTGTTACAAAATGAGAAAAATGAATACAAGTTTTGACTTTATTTCCTAGGCATTTATTTTATATGCTTTGTAGGCATACTGATTATTCAGTAGTTCATAACTAAGACCTGCCTAATCAGCACTAACCTTTCTTACACTTTGTAAGGACTAGCAGTTCTGTTCTTAAAAAACAACAGTACCTTGTCACATAATGTTGTTATGAGGATTTATGATACTGCGTGTTAAGTACAGATAGGAAGAGCTTATTAATGAGTGGTTATTATCACCACCCCAGGACAAAATTAAACCTCATATTTAGTACCGTAAATTCCTGTTTAGTTTTCATTGAAACTATTAAATATTAATGGGATGTGCCCATTTGAAAATTTATTTACTATTTTTGGAAATGCTCTTAACCCACTGAGCCACCCAGGCGCCCCTCCATTCATATATTGATAGATGGTTAGTTTGCTTTCATGTTCTGGCTATTGTAAATAATGCTGCAATGAACATGAAGGTGCCCATAACTTTCTGAGATAATAATTTCATTTTCTTCAGATAAGTGCCCAGAAGTGGAATTGCCAAATCCTATGGTAGTTCTATTTTTAACTTTTTAAGTAATTTCCATACTGTTTTCCATAGTGGTTGCACCAGTTAACATCCCACCGTCAGTGCACAGGGGTTCTCTTTTCTCCATATCTTTTACAACACCAACTCTTCTCTCTTGTTTTTTGATTACAGCCTTTGTAACTGGTGTGAGGTGATATCCAGTTGTGGTTTTGATTTGCATTTCCCTGATGATTAGTGATGTTGAGCACTTTATCATGTACTTTTGGTCATTTGTATGTCTTTGGAAAAATGTCGATTCAGTTTCTTTGCCCATTTTTAATCAGACTGTTTAGTTTTTAGAAATTTTTTTAAAGTTCTTCGTGTCAATTAAAATTATCTGAAGTACCAGATTTTGGGGGAACCTCCATTATGTTATATTTTTAAGGATAAACTTTAAAATTTTTTCTTAACCTGGGAAGTGAATAAACCTCATTTTGGCATATTGGTACTTCTGAAGACTTGTTTTTTATGAAAGAATAGCATATAATTAGAAAAAGTAGAAAGTCTTGATATTAATCTGTTTTCCAAAATAATCATAGGTTATTTTTATTCTTAACATTGATTGGATGATACTTTGAGGGTGTTAAAATTTTATAGCCTAACCAATTCATATATGAGTTATTTGCTTCATTGGAATGTCACTTTTCAGTATTCTGCTGTCTGCCTTAATCAGCTGTTATCTGACAGGTCCTGGAGTTGTTAATTCACAGAGATGGGGAATTTCAAGAACTGATGAAATTGGCACTCAATCAGGGAAAAATCCATCATGAAATGCAAGTTTTAGAAAAGGAAGTGGAGAAGAGAGACAGTGATATTCAGCAACTACAAAAACAGCTCAAGGAAGCAGAACAAATACTGGTAAGTTGATAGAAGATAAGGTAAAAAATGATATTAATCTATTTCCGAAAAAAAAATCTTCAAGTATTTTGAAGTGGCAGAAAACTTGACTTTCTAAGTCTAAAAGTGACAGCTTGTCACTTTGGTTAAATGAAGGGCCATTGTCATTCCCTATTTTACTTAATGTTTTCAGATGTCTGCATTGTTTTTGAACCATATTTTCATTATTTAAAGATTTCACAGGATTGAATTAATAGAACTGGGAAGTTTACTTTTATCCTGTCCTATTAGAAGTTTTCAGTTATTAGTAGTCTAAATCTTCAGTTTTAAAAATATTTTTAAATCAGTATAAATATGTATCATTTTTATAAATGGATTAAAATTTATATTAATTTAGTCTGCTACTCTAAGTGGGATCTGGTTTTTTGTTTTTCTTCTTCTTGGCTATTGTTTGAAAACAATTTCTTTGCTATTATTTGCCCAGTTATTTCAGTAAATACTAACCAATGTAATTGTTATATGGTGGTATTGCAGAAACAGCTGAGTTTGATTCTCATATGGACCAGACATTGTTGGAATCTTTATCCCTGATCAATCTTCAAAATGTGTCAAAACAGACTCCAGTAAATAGAAACCTGAGTGGTTCAGGGTAAATTAACCACTCCTGCTGAAGAAATGACGCCAAGTAAATGCTTTTTAAAAAAATATGTAATGAAATCTATTTTCCATTAGGAAAGTAATACTTACTAAAAGATTTAAGAAAATAAAGAGAGGTAGAAGGAAGAGAAAAAAATTGTGTTAGTCCCTCTATTCAGATTGCCATTAGTCTTTTGTGCATTTTATTTCAGTCTCAGACTTTTTTTTTTTTTTTTAATTTTCCAGTAGGCTTATAATTGATTCTTAAATTGAAGTCTGGTTGACACACAATATTACATAGTTTCAGGTTACAACATAGTGATTTTTTTCCCAGACGTTTTCATTTTTTTATCTCATAATTAGTAGGATATTAAGTGGATTTCTATTACTATTTTTTTAATTTTTTTAATAAAGTATTTTTTAAAGATTCTATTTATTTATTTGACAGAGAGAGAAAGATCACAAGTAGGCAGAGCAGGCAGAGAGAGAGGGGGAAGCAGGCTCCCCACCAAGCAGAAAGCCTGATGCGGGGCTCGATCCTAGGAAGGCAGAGGCTTAACCCACTGAGCCATGCAGGTGCCCCTTATTTTTAAAACTTAAGCATTTTTCTTATGTTGTATCCTCTTTGTTTAGCTTTCCAACTTTCTGTTATAAATAATGCTTTGAAGAATATCATTGCAAAAAGTGGTCTTTTTCTTCTGCATTTCAGATTTTATTCTTTAAATTTGATTTCCAAAAATGTTGTTAACAAGTTAAAGATAGTTAACACAAGAACTGTAAAAAGACTGAATTTTATGATTTAGGTAATAACAACTAACATTTATTGATCACTTGTGCATCAGGCCTTGTGCTTGTTTGCAGGTTACATGGATTTTCTCAATCTCCTTAGTAATCATGCTAGGTTAGTACCATTATTCCATTTTACAGATGAAGAAACTGAGGTTTTAAATTAATAGTTACCTTGCCCAGGAAGAGTGAAAAGTAGAGAGATGGAACTTAAACCTATTTCTCTGACTCCATACTCTTAACCACTGTGTTATAGTTGAGGATGTATACGTAACTTCATTTTACCCTTTAATGTAACTGGGGGGGTGGCTTGTGGGTGTTTTCATTATAACAGTCATTAAGCATAGAGGTAATGGTAATGTCTAAATGAGTAAGACTATCAATCCAAGAATGTGTCTTGTAAATGAGAAAAAAATATTTTGGTATTTTTATCCTTGAACTAAATGTGAGAATAGGATGCTTTGGGACTGGTATATGGTGTGGATCTCTTATACATGTCTGATAGAAGGCATAAAGAAAAAAAATGTTAGGGGCTCCTGGGTGACTCAGTCAGTTAAGCGACTGCCTTTCAGCTCAGGTCATGATCCCAGGGTTCTGGGATCAAATCCCGTATCAAGCTCCCTGTTCAGCGGGAAGTCCACTTTTCTCTCTGCTCCTCGCCCCACTCGTGGGCTCGCTCTCTCTCAAAAATAAATAAAATCTTAAAAAAAAATAAACAAGAGTGGCGGGGTGCTAATTAAAATTGGTTACAGCCCCCCCCAAAAAAAGTAAACAGTCCAATCTACACATTGTTTCTGACAGTTTGTAGATGAAGAGTGATTCATGAATATACATTATTACTTCATTAACCAACTGATACAAATGATTCCCAAACAGTGTCAGACCATTGCAAATAAATTGTGGGGATCTCCAGCTTTTGCATTTTGTTTCTGTGGGATTCATGATTTTGTGAATTAAGGCAAAAATTCTACTTGATATAGTTAAGAGTAAACCATATTTCTTTTTTAATATTCAAATTAGGCAACAGCTGTTTACCAAGCAAAAGAAAAACTCAAATCAATAGAAAAAGCAAGAAAAGGTAAGAACTCTGGGAATATTGAATGACTTTCTGAAAAGTCCAAGTTTTGGTTTCAAGAAATAGATGAGAGTATTATTGGTAATCATTTGCTGCTATTGAAATGATTCCAATAAATTTTTATTATAAAGTGTCTGCTAGATGCTAGCACTGTGCTATGTATTATTGGGAAGTTTTCAAACTTTTTCAGGCTCTAGGAAGCAATAATATAAGGCAAGTTATGGCTGTGTGTCCATATGTGCAGTAAAGACAATGAGTTTATAAAGTTGTTGGGAGAAGGGAAGAGAACTGTGAGCTGGAAGCAAGTGGGATGTGAGTTGGATCTTAAAAGACAGGACAGAAAGTGAAAGAGAATGTGCAGTGGGCAGCTGGGGTGGGACTAGAGTGTCCTGAAGTCAGAACTAGATGTGCTTTGGGACATGTGCACATGTAATGGTGCAGACGCCCAGCCTGCCTTTTCCTGTCCTCCTCCTCTCTTTAAAAGACTTCCATTTTGGATTTTTGAGTTTAGGTACTAAAAGTTAGAGTGAAAATTTTGGTTACTTGTTTTTAATGGTTTGTAGATGATTTGCCTTTAGTCATCTCAAAATTGTCTAACTCTCCTCTCCTTTTCCTGTTTCAGATAACTACTGTTCATGTTTGTGTGTGTCTATTTTTTTAGATGTTTAACACAAATATAACAGTACAAATACATATATGTACATATTCAAAAACAAAAACTGGGTCATGCTACACATATTATTTAGCAACTTACTTTTTTTAATCTAATGAATATATTGTGGACATGTTTCTATGTAGGCCTACTTATAATCGTAGAGTCACATCAAGCCAACGATTGAGTGGTATAGTGTGAACTGCTGCTCTAACTTAATAGCTTAGATGTCACTGGAAGACAAAACACTCTTTCCTCTTTTATTTGTACTCATTGTTGCTTTGAGAACAGTAAGAATATTTAATGGTAGTTAATAATTGAGATTAGTGAATTTAGTCCTGCTAATGTCCCAAATTTGATACTTTGTTAGCTGTTTTTTCTAGATGTCTTGTTCTTTAGTTGCGAAATCTTATGTTAAGTTTAACAATATACATATTATTAGGTATTATTGGGGAAGGTGGGCAACTCAGATTATCCTGTTTTCAGATAATTTAAAATTAAGTATGATGTGTGACTATGAGACATGCGTTTATATAGTTTTAAGTTACTGGACTAACGTTACTCTCTCCTCTTTACTCTCTCAGGTGCCATCTCCTCTGAAGAAATAATTAAGTATGCACATAGGATTAGTGCAAGTAATGCTGTATGTGCCCCACTGACCTGGGTTCCAGGTAAAATACTTCTCTTTTTATTAGGCATACTGGTTTTAAAAATTTTTAGGTGACTGTAATTTTAAACATAGAATGATTTAAACATAGAATGTATTTATCCTTAGAAACATCTGCTATATATTTTCATATCTTTAATATCTTATAAGAAATAATATGGGTCATGGGTTTTATTAGTTTGGTTTTCTACAAAACTTTTGCAACAGGGACTGTGTGTCTTTTTTTTTTTTTATGGTATTATTTATTAGAGTGAGTGAGAGAGACAGTGAGAGAGCACAAGTGGAGAGGAGAGGGAGAAGCCAGCCACATGTGGGACTCAGTCCCAGGACCCTGAGATCATGACTTGAGTTGAAAGCAGTTGCTTAACCAGCCGAGTCACCCAGGGGCCTCTGTTTCTGTCCTTTTTAAAGAAAAATCATAAATTAATGTTTTAAGTACAAATGATACGTGATGATTCTAAAGCTATATATTTATATGACCGTAACACCCAGGCTGGCCAGAAAGCCCACTTTTTAGAACCATTGGAATTTCATCAAGTGTTCTGGCCTTGGAATCAAGACAGTCCCAACTGTACAGTGATAAAGGTGAAGCACTGAGCACCCAACAACAAACACATGGGACTGGATAAAGCTGGAGTTATTAGAAAGGGTAAAAAAGAGTAAAAAACTGCAATATATATTGATAGTACATAAGACATTTATAAGACAGGGACCTAAGGTGGAGCAGCAGTCTTCTGGGAGGAGTGGGAAATAGTATCTCAACATCAGTAATTCGTGATGGTGGTATTTTACTATACTAAAAACACTATGGTTAACTTACAGTTTTGGGGGTAAGTGATATGGAGTGAGTAAGAAATATTACCAAAAAGTTGGTCCAAATCTGCCAAGTTTTCATCATCCCAAAACAAAATGGTATGCTCCCATGATTAGAAGTGAACATTGGCTCCTGATACTCCTCCTCTGGAAATTTCTAGGAATTAGTTTTTAAATGACAAGATCAAAGAGGTTGGTTAGGAAAAGTTTTAATTTATACAGTCCTTCAAATAAGTATTCCAGTCCTGTCTTGTAAAAAAAAAAAAAAAAAAATTATCATGATCTGTTTATTCTCTCAGTGTATGTATCATTTGTTATTTTCTTCTTGGAAATGTAGGTAAGTTAGAAGAATCAAGATCATTATAATTTTCTTAGTTTGTCATTTGGAATTGCTGAAATGACAGACTTTTTTTTTTGCATAGAGAATAATATATTACTGTACAGATTCAAAGACAAAATGCATGTATTTTTAAATTTAATATATTACGCTCTTAATAGCAGTTGATAATATGACCTTACTGAAAATGGGTATTTTGAGTTTTTCAGAGTGAGTCAAGGAAAATAAGTACTTCAGAGATGGTATTAATGCTTATTTTGCATAAGATTAAATTAAAAGCAGTCTTTTTTAGGGGACCCACGGAGGCCATACCCAACTGATTTGGAGATGAGAAGTGGATTATTGGGTCAAATGAACAATCCTTCCACTAATGGTGTAAATGGTCATTTACCAGGGGATGCACTTGCAGCAGGCAGATTGCCAGGTAATGTTAATCAGAACAGTGCTTTCAAACAGACCAAGGTTCTGCAGACATGATGAAGGAATAGCTGGCTGTTGAAGAAGTTTGAGGTTCTAGACCCAGCTCGTTTTAATAGCCAGGTTTTCTGCCATTTATCCCGCTCTCTAGTGTAAAAACTATTCTAGCTGGAGTTCATGAAATTAGAATAAATTGACTTTTCTCTTATTTGTTAATAGGTTATTTTCCTCGGGAATTCTCTCTTTTATTAAAATTTAAACAGCTTTTTAAATAAAACTGTGAAATATACTGGACAAACAAAATAAGAAATACATATGTTCGTTTTTTGTTTTTTTTTTAAAGATTTTATTTATTTATTTGACAGATCACAAGTAGGCAGAGAGGCAGGCAGAGAGAGAGAGGAGGAAGCAGGCTCCCTGCTGAGCAGAGAGCCCGATGCGGGGCTCGATCCCAAGTCCCTGGGATCATGACCTGAGCCGAAGGCAGAGGCTTTAACCCACTGAGCCACCCAGGCGTCCCCACATATGTTCGTTTTAAAGAATACAAAGTGAACCCACTCCTGGAAAACTCCCAAATTAACAAAATGAATAATAGCTTTTTATGGGTTTTTCAGTAACTAAATAAAATAGCACTTCTGAGAGACTTGGTTCATTCTGAATTTTGGCCTTCCTAGAGTTCTGCATATAGTTTTGTGTTATTTTTATATTTATGTTCCCCATCTTTTACATTTTGTAGGTGACTTGCTTGGTAGAACATTTAAAAAGTATTTAGAAGATTATAAAAAAACAAAAAACTGGGGTTTTGTTTGAGCAATCACTTTTAATATTACACCTATTTCATTTTTTCTTGTATTTTTTACAGTGTTAAAAACATGCTCTGGATAATGCTTTTCTGCTTCACATTTTATTGTAAGGATGTTCCTATGTTGTTAAGAATGCTTTGTAAACATCATTTTTAACTATCTAAAGTACAAACTGAGAACTCACTGTGTGTTAGTTCCCCAGATATCTGCATTTTTCTCATTTTTATTATTCCGTATTATATGCCAGTCATAGTCTAGTCAATAGGCAGAAACCACATCAGCAGTATGAACAAGGAAAGTTTAAAGAATTACTAATTAGTAACAGGATACTCACTACTAAAGGGTAAAGAGAACTGCTTTTTTAAAAATACAGTAATAACAGATGTGGGGAGCAGCTACTACATTTAGGACCAGGCAGATGACCCAAAGAAAGGACCCCCTGAGAAGAGGTTTCTCCCACCCCCATCCTCAGGCTGCTGTTCATATTGTGGCACCTTTGAGAGGATGTAGCTGTGGCCCACAGGATGGCAGAGAAGTTAGATGAGGTATTCACAGGCTGGAGCCAGCAAGCAGGAAATTATCCACTAGGGTTCCAGGGATCCTTGCAGGGAAGTCACCTTTAGGGTGATGGTGAGACTTAGACACTATTGAAACTTGCTAGAGGGCGAGCAAGCTACCACAGGAGTGAGAAGGGAAACATCCGATCCCTTAGTCCTATTCGCCTTGCAGAGTCCCTCCAGTGCCCTCTACTGACAAAGATTAACATTGTGGCTGCGGGCAGAGGAGAAATGTTTTCAGGGTCCGGGGAGAAGAATGGATTTAAAGCTTAAGCAGTTTAACTTGTAATAGTGTAGTACATGTTAGCTATTTAAAATATATAGAGAGAATAATATATACGACTTAATATATATAAAAGAAACATTTGATTTGTCATTGTGAATGTCTTACAAAAGAAAAATTAGGTCAACTGACTCTGAAGTTACTTAGATAAAAAAAAAATATATATATAAAGTTACTTAGATGTAAGCATGATTTTTAAAAAAAATAAAATGCAGGTTCTGGTTATTAAAATAGGCTTTTCCATGATAACTTTGATCTTCGTTAATTTAGCCAAATGTACATTTTGATTCCTGGCCTTAAAAAAATATTTACTTCAGATTCTGTGCATGAGGGGAAGGGTAATTAAGAAGTAAATTAATTATTGGTAGAAGTATTATTACATATTCTTCTTTCTTTTCTTCAGATGTCCTTGCTCCACAATATCCATGGCAGTCAAATGACATGTCAATGAATATGTTACCACCAAATCACAGTAATGACTTTTTGTTGGAACCTCCGGGGCATAATAAAGAAAATGAAGATGATGTAGAAGTTATGTCAACAGACTCCTCTAGCAGCAGTAGTGACTCTGATTAAACACACAAAAGACAAAATTCATACAGAATTGAATACTATGGGGGCACTTGGGTGACTTGGTTCAGCGTCGGACTCTTGATTTTGGCTCAGGTCACTATTTCAGGGTTTTGAGATCAGACCTGCTTCAGGTTTTGTGCTGGGCATGGAGTCTACTTAAGATTCTCTCTCCCTCTGCCCCTCCTCCCACCTCTCTCCCTTTCTAGAAAACAAACAGAACAGAATAGATTACTATGGAATTCTGTTTCTTAAACAGTTGCAAGCCTGTAATAAATGGCTAGGTCATACTGGCTATAGTGGAATTGTACAACCCATAAAAATCACTGGACTTTAAAGCCAAAAATCATAGTTTCAGTTCTAAACCACTAAGTAAATATTTAAAGACTAATCAGAATTTACTGTTGGGAAAAAAAAGTAGTGCCACTCTACCCCGTTATATTCCAGTTATGTTGGACTTGAACATAGTAGTTCTGGAAATAAAAGTTGAGGGAAATGACCCCTGTACATACCACTAATCAGCCCCAGGAATTATTTAGAAAAGCATTCTAAATAAGGGCAGTGGATCGCGGAATGTGTATCTTATCTTGAAATAACAAAACCCTCATTTGAAAGTGAAAGCTGGTAGCTTGTCACAACAGGGGAGATTGTCTCAATTTGTACTATCTGTAATTATTGTGATTTTTGTAAATAAATGCACTTTTGTTTGTACTCTGTATGTTTTTTTTTAATTGAAATATGCCTTCAGTGTAGGTAAGAAATTACTTCTGTAAATCCAGTTGCATTTTATACGTACGTACTTAGAATTCTGGAGTGTGAATGAACATGATGTACTACATACGGCTAAGCTAGTAATCATAACTAGTAGGTTTCACAAAGGCCTACACATTCTTAGAAGAAATAAAATGAAGTTGCTTTTTGTATTTTTTTCCATTAGTCTTCCCGCTAGCTTTTTTTTTTTTTTTTTAAATAAGTGAAAAGCTTACCATAATGTCTAATCTTTAGAATAACACATTGGATTGTCTGAAAGGTTTTAGAATGGAAAGCACAGTCTCTTGCCTTCACCTTCTCTCTTACTGCATTTTCCAGAAGTAATCACTCTTAACCACTTTTAACTTCTGATGGTTAACCTCCATGTTTAAAGAATATGTTTATAGAACGACAGCTTGATTTATTTTAGTGTACGTTTTACTTTTTTTTTCAGATTGCAAAAGTACAACATTCATAGGGGAGTGTTTAGCAAATACAGTATATTACAAAGGAGAAAATAAAACTAGCTTTACCAAGAGATCATATCAATTAACATTTTTTGGGTGGGTTCTTGATCTTTTTTAAAGATCCACATGTATAGTTTTTGAAATAATGTGTATTTCCTGAGATTCTATATAGTTTTTGTTAATCTCCATCCTTGCAATGAACTGAGAATTCAATTTTTCCAACTTTTTTTCTTTCCTTTTTTTTTTTCCCATTTAAATGAAATGACCTCTGTAGAAAAACATTTGTCTTCCAACTTCAGCAGTTTTCCTGGAAACAAAATTACATTTTTAGATTGGTACCTTGAATAAAACAAGGGATGAAATGAGTAGCGTCGTCTGGAACTCAAAGTATAAATTATCTCACAATTCAATTTCTTTACTTAATGTGAATTCAATGGCATGCCAGTATACATAAATTACAGTCATAACGTGTGTGTTATGTGGTATAGGAAAATACTGGTTGCCTAAAAAATACACACACACACACACACACACACACACAGCTAAGGAAAAGGAGGTGGAAAGAGCTAAAGCAAATATAGGGCAAATACTGAATCTGAGTGTAGGGTATATGGAAGTTCATTGTACTATTTCCTGTTTCTGGTATTTTTTTTTCATGTTAACATTCTGTTTCTGTAACAGAAGTAACATTACACCATTTTAAAATGCCAAGAAATAGAAAAGTTTGGACTCTGTTCTGTAAGATGGCTTTGATGCTGCTGAGGCTCCAATTCAAGGATGGCAGGCATGGAAGGTGTGTGGGAACCGACAATAGCAAACATTTGTGGGTTCTGTTACAGTTCCTTAAGCCATGATATTTAGGCCACCTGTTAAGTTTCTTAGGTATGCTATAACAAAATAACAGACTCCTGACCTAAAGAGGAATTTATTTTCACACAGTGTGGAGGTTAGAAGTCCGAGATCAAAGTGTTGGGAGGTTTGGCAAATCCCTTGGCTTGCCTTCTTGCCGTGTCCTCACATGACATTTTCTCTGCACCCCCAGCCCTGGTGTCTCTGTGGGTCCAAATTTCCTCTAGTAGACAGACTAGAGTTCACCCCAATGGCCTCATTTTAACTTAATCTTTTAAAGGCCTTATCTCCAAATAATAGTCACATTCTGAGGTCTTGGGGTTTAGGGTTCCCACATTGGAATTTGGGGCTCTGATACTAATCCCAGTATGCTGGGGGAAAGGGTGTTTCCCTCCAACAACAAGCAATTTTCCGGACAATGGCAAGGTGTCCTACGATTCAATTCAATTCTGACACTACCTGGCCATAGAATCTGGTTCCTCCCTCCATGTGCCAAGCCAGTGATGCCAATCGCAAGCTGAGGTTATTACCTGTATTTCTGACTGACAGGCTATAAATCAGAGGTTCCTCAGATCCCTTCCTTAGGTTTGGTTAATGTGCTAGAATGGCTCACAGAACTCAGAAAATCTGTTTACTCACTAGATTACTGATTTGTTACAAAAGGAATTCAGGAACATCCAGATAGACAATATGCACTGGGCAAGCATAGGGAAAAGGCTGAGGTTCCATGCCCTCCCCAGGCACGCCACTCCCCAGATCATGTGTTCACCAACCAAGAACTCTGAACTATGCCCTTTTGGGTTTTTATGGAGGCTTCATTACTAGACTAGATTGATTAAATTGTTAACCTTTGGTGATTAATTCAGGCTGTAGGCCCCTCCCCTCTCCAGAGGAGGACTACAAGTTCCAACCCTGTAATCACAGTAATCACTTGGCTCCATTTGCACCAGCCTCCAACTGGGGAACCTTCCCCAAATCCATATTAACATAAAAAAAGACACTTTTTATCACTCTCCATGCTTAGGAAATTATAAGGGTTTTGGAAGCTATAAACCAGGAACTGTGGACAAAAACCAAATTATATATGAGAAATTCAGATGACCAAAATCACAATATCATGTAGGGACACAATTTGGCACATTACATCACCCAAGGGCCTGTATAAACTTTATTATAAACTATATGTTTAATGAATATCCTAGTAAGATATTTACTTTTTTAGATTCAATTTGGCATATATGAGGTCATTTCTAAGGTCCCTTGTATAACATATATATATATATATATATATATATATATATATACACACACACACACACTTAAGACCATTTTACTGAATTTGGTTAATCAGTATCAATTAACAACCATTTTGTTGTATCATCATTTTTTAAAATTTTTTATCTTTTATTAACATATAATGTCTTCTGTTTTTAAAGATTTTATTTATTTATTTGACAGAGATCACAACTAGGCAGAGAGGCAGGCAGAGAGATAGAGGAGGAAGCAGGCTCCCCACTGAGCAGAGAGCCCGATGCGGGGCTCGATCCCAGGACCCTGGGATCATGACCTGAGCCAAAGGCAGAGGCTTTAACCAACTGAGCCACCCAGGCACCCCAACATATAATGTCTTATTAGCCCCAGGGGTACAGGTCTGTGAATCGCCAGGTTTGCACACTTCACAGCACTCACCATAGCATGTACCTTCCCAATGTCCATAACACCACTACCCTCTCACTCCCCACTCCCCCTGACAACCCTCAGTTTGTTTTGTGAGATTAAGAGTTTCTTATGGTTTGTCTCCCTATCCCATCTTGCCTGATTTTTTTCCTTTCCTACCCCCCAAACCCCCTACTTGCCTCTCAACTTCCCCATATCAGAGAGATCATATAATTGTCTTTCTCTGATTAACTTATTTAGCTCAGCATAATACCTTCTAGTTCCAACCATGTCATTGCAAATGGCAAGATTTCATTTCTTTTGATGGCTGCATAGTATTCCATTGTATATCTATACCACATCTTCTTTATCCAATCATCTGTTGATGGACATTTAGGTTCTTTCCATAGTTTGGCTAATGTGGACATTGCTGCTATAAACATTCAGATGCACGTGCTCCTTTGGATCACTACATTTGTATCCTCAGGGTAAATACCCAGTAGTGCGATTGCTGGGTCGTAGGGTAGTTCTATTTTCAACTTTTTGAGGAACCACCATGCTGTTTTTCAGAGTGATTGCACCAGCTTGCATTCCCACCAACAGTGTAGGAGGGTTCCCCTTTCTCCGCATCCTCACCAGCATCTGTCATTTCCTGACTTGTTAATTTTAGCCATTCTGACTGGTGTGAGGTGGTATCTCTTTGCGGTTTTGATTTGTATTTCCCTGATGCTGAGTGATATGGAGCACTTTTTCATGTGTCTGTTGGCCATCCAGATGTCTTCTTTGCAGAAATGTCTGTTCATGTCTTCTGCCCATTTCTTGATTGGATTATTTGTTCTTTGGGTGTTGAGTCTAAGTTCTTTATAGCTTTTGGATACTAGCCCTTTATCTGATATGTTGTTTGCAAATATCTTCTCCCATTCTGTCAATTGTCTTTTGGTTTTGTTGACTGTTTCCTTTGCTGTGCAAAAGCTTTTGATCTTGATGAAGTCCCAATAGTTCATTTTTGCCCTTGCTTCCCTTGCCTTTGGCGATGTTTCTAGGAAGAAGTTGCTACAGCTGAGGTCGAAGAGGTTGCTGCCTATGTTCTCCTCAAGCATTTTGATGGATTCCTTTCTCGCATTGAGGCCTTTCATCCATTTGGAGTCTGTTTTTGTGTGTGGTGTAAGGAAATGCTCCAGTTTCATTTTTCTGCATGTGGCTGTCCAATTTTCCCAACACCATTTGTTGAAGAGACTATCTTTTTTCCATTGGACATTCTTTCCTGCTTTGTCGAAGATTAGTTGACCATAGAGTTGAGGGTCTATTTCTGGGCTCTCTATTCTGTTCCATTGATCTATGTGTCTATTTTTGTGCCAGTACCATACTGTCTTGATGATGA